TCAAAGTCATATTTTGGTTGCCTTGGATTTGGTTTAATTTTCCTCAGCTTTAGCAATCAAAAACCAGGAGGAGCTTAAAAAAATAATCCATAATAATGCAGATAAAGCAAACAAGACATTAGAGACTCTGGAAAAACAAGGAACCACAATCCAAAATACGAGGGCCAATGTTTCAGATATTTTCAGATTGATGGAGGGACACATGAACAGAGTTGAAGATGGAACACAGAACCAGTGAAACAGGAGATAGAATTGTCACCACTGATCTGCTAGAAAAAAATCAGAATCAAAGAGGAAGGGGGGGGGAAACCCAAGAATAATGTGGGACACTATCAAGAGAAATAGCATGTGCATAATCAGAGGCATGACAAGAGTCTAGAATAATAGTTACATAATAAAGTGGACTGGGAAAGGGGGGGATTGTATACAATGAAATAAAGCTTTTCTTTTTTCAAAGGGAAAAGTGAACTGGAGGGAGGGGTGGGCAGGGAGGAATATGTGTAAAAAGGAATGATTGGAAAAAAGGTTAAAATGTCCCTGAAAAAGAAAAAAAAAAAAGAAAACCCAAGAATAATGTGGGGCTTGATCAACAGGAATAACATGCACATATTCAGAATCCCAGAACAGGAAGAAGCAAGTAAAGGCACTGAGGAAGCCGTAGAATTACTAGAAGAAATCTTTCCAGGCATAATGAAGAATGAGAGAATATATATTGAAGAAACTGAGTAAACACCATATAGAATAGGCCTCAAAAGAAAAACACCAAGGCATATCATCATCAAATAAGCAAGAACCAAAGATAAGGAGAGAATTCTGAAAGCAGCAAGGGAGAAACAACCCATCAGGGAGAGCATATAAAAGTAAATTCCTATTTCTCATCAGAAACCATGCAAGCAAGAAGACAGTTAAATGACATATATCGAACTCAAAGAAGACAACTGTCAACCAAGAATACTGTATCCAGAAAAATTGTCCATCAAATATGAAGAAGAGATCAAGATAGTCTCAGAAACGCAGAACCTAAAGGACTTTGTAAAAAGAAGACCAGCATTTCAGGAAAAACTGAGAGACCTCCTTCTTACAGAGGTGCCGCAGAAAGCAAGATGGACCAAAGTAACTAGCAACAACACCTACTGGACTTAGTCAACCAATTGAGCAAAGTAGCAGGATAAAAGATCAATATAAAATAAAAAATCAGTAGAATTTCTGTACAGTGACAAAGAGAATACTGAACTGGAGCTAAGAAAACAATACTCATCACAATAGCTAATCACAAGACTAAATACTTGGGAGTAAATCGAACTAGAACCACATTTCTTCATGTGTTTATTAGCCATCTGAATGTCTTCTTTGGTGAAGTGTCTGTTCATATCCTGTGCCCATTTTTCAATTGGGCTATTTACATTTATCTTCTTGTTGTGCTCGAGTGTTTTATATAAATTCTAGATATAAGTCCCTTGTCTGACATGTCCTTACCAAATATTTTTTCCCAATCTGTGGCTTCCCTTTTTACCCTGTTGGAGAAGTTTTTTGATGTGTATAACGATTTGATTCTTAGAAGGTCCCGTTCATCTATTTTATCCTCTCCTGGTTATAGATTTTCCAGGATGCTTGGAAGACTGTTTATGTTGTGAATTAGGACTTCTAGGGTTCTTCCAAGCTTTTCTTTAATGACTCTTATAGTCCTTGGTTTTAGTCCTAGGTCCATAATCCACTTTGAGTTGGCTTTTGTGTATGGAGTGAGGTGTGGGCCTTGCTTGAGTTTTCTGCAGATAGTTTTCCAATTTTGCCAACACCATTTGTTAAAAAGGCTGTCATTTAATTTCCTTGTCAAAAATAAGTTGACCATAAGTAGATGGGCTGATTTCTAGATTCTCAATTCTATTCCCTTGATCTATGTGTCTGTTCTTGTACCTGTACCAAACTGTCTTGGCCACCACAGCAATGCAGTAGAATTTGCAATCAGGAGTGAGAAAAAATATGGAATGCTTCATGAATTTGCATGTCATCCTTGCGCAGGGGCCATGCCAATCATCTCTGTATCATTCCAATGTTAGTATATGTGCAGCCGAAGCGAGCACTATAATCTTTTTTCTATCTTATGTTGCCTATTGATCAAATGGTGAAAGTTTTTTTTTTATGTTGAAATATAATCCATATTGAAGACTGTCATCTTTTATTTTCTTCTGAAAATTGCTATTTTGTACCATTGAGTCAATTATCTAAACCATGCTTTATCCTTAGCTATCCTCATCATCTTTGATATATGTGAATCCTTTGTGATAGTCACTGCGTTACCTCACCTTTTGAGGACCTCTTTTATGTGGACCCTGACACCTTTGTAATCATGATGTCTTTTTCTAAGGCATTGTCCACCCTAACAACACACCCAAAGTATACAAGACAAAGCCTCACTATCCTTGCCTCCAAGGATTACTATTGTTTTCATCTACTTTTTCTTTTAATAAAATTTTATTTAAATCATCATTTTAATGAACATTTATAGAGAAGTTAGATTTTCATTAATTCATTGTTGCACATTTTATCCCCTAATCCTCCCTTCTCCCTCCTCCAGTTCACTTTTTTAAAATATTCATTCCTTGTTGTACAATTACCTCCCTCTCCCCCCCACACACACTCCCATTCCTTTTTACAGTGATCTATCTCTTATTCTAGGCTGTTATCATACATATAATGCCTAGTCATATGTTCATTTTAGTCTATCATCTACTTTTTAATGGTAGTATACACTATTGGGTATTGATTTTTATATAAATTATTCTTATTATTTTTGTTGTTGATCTACAGATTCTGTTGACGTACTTTTAAAGTCATAACATTCAAAAGAAGGTCAGTATTTTTTTCCTTTAACACTAGCTAAATTTACAATGATGCTCCATTGAATATAATAGATATCCAGCAATCAAAATAACATCAGTATCTTATATTTATGTACCATAGACTTCATAGATACTTATATTTTCCTAATTATTTTGAATACTTCTAGTTATAAGATTTACCATTTTCTGCAGTGTTTCTCCATTTCATTTACATGTATGTATGCAACCTAATTTTCTGATTTTTGGGGGAAGATAATATAAAAAGGATATTTTAAATTGTCTCATTTTATAAATAACCTCATAAAAGTCAATGGAAAATTAAGGGGGGAAAGTCTTACGGTGCTTCATGATTCATTATGCATGTTGCTCTTGGACATACACATTTCTTCATGTCATCATATGTTAGTCCTAAATTAAGGCCAAGTAATTGGGTTATAATAACTGCAAATCCTTCCAAACTAATTGAGTCTGGATACTAAAATAAAGAATATTGAAAATAAAAATTATTATATGGAAAATATACTCAAATATTAAATATAAGCAAATGATAACTTGAAATAAAAATTTAGTTACATTTAAATGTGTTGTATGTAAAAATAAATATATAATAATTTATTTTGATATGTTGCAGATATGTTACTATCAATTAAAGATCATGATACCAACCATGTGAAAATTAGCCAAACCACGAACATTTCTTCATTTAAATTTTATTAAAGTCATATTCTATAATATTTATGGATTTATTTAATTTTATCATTATATCAAATCAATACAATTAATAAATACTCTCTTAGTATATATCTGTAAATCAGTAAGATAGGTGGATCTAATAGGGCATTAATAAAAGTACTGAACTTTGTTTAAATCTATCACTTATATATTGTTTTTGTTCTTGTATGTGCCATCGAGTTTCTTGTGACTCATAGCAACCCTATGCTTAACAGCCCTAAATCCTCCTCTATCCTGTGCCAACTTTATTGTACATATTGTAATTATATTTAAAATAAGGAAAAGAAAATAAAAGTGAAATACATAATATACTCCTCAAATGCAGTTCATAAAAAGTACTTGTGGTGTTGTTATGTGCAGTCGAGTTGCTTGTGACTCACAGCAACCCTATGAGCTTTGAAGTTTGCCCTGTCCTGAGCCAGTCTCACTAATTTCAACACGCTGTACTCCATTGCCCTCGTTATCAATCCATCTCATCTAAGGGCTTCCTTTCCTGGTCTGTCCTTCCACCCTTTCAAGCATGAAAACCTTTTCCAAGGATCTGTCTCTCCTTACCACATGCTCAAAGTATGTGAGACAAACCTTCAAATTCCTAACATTTCACCCTTCTCAAGATAGACTTATTTGTTTTCTTGGTGGTCCATGCTATGTTCAAGACTCTTCTCCAGCAACACAACTCAAAGGTAGCAATTCTTCTTCTGTCATCCTTAGTCACTGTCTAACTCTCTGATGCGAAGACCCCTGCCTGAAACAGGTGCACCTTAGTCCCTAGACTTACATTGTTGCTTTTCAGTCTCTGGAAAGGTTCCTGACAATAGATTTACTTAATACAATTCATCTTTTGATTTCCTGCTGGTGCCAAGAATGTGGATTGTGGAGCTGAACAAGCTGTAACTGTTAACAACCTCAATCTTGTCTCCACCCATCATCATGCTGCCAATTGGCTCAGTAGTAAGAATCTTTGCCTTCCTGATGTTGAGCTTCAATCCATATTGAAGACAACAGTCCCTGATCTTTTGCAGCAAGTGCTTCAGATCCTATTCAGTTTCAGCAAGCAAGGCTGTGTCATCCACGTAACATAGGTTGTTGGTGAGTTTTCCTCCAATCCTGATGCCACATTCCTCCTTATAAAGCCCAGCTTCCTGAATGATCTGTTCTGCATATAGATAGAAAAGATATGGAGATAGGACACATCCCCAGCATACACCCATCCCAATTTTGAACCATGCAGTGTTTTCCTGCTCTGTTCTGGTAACTGCTTCCTGGTCCAAGTATTGGTTTCACATAAGCATGATCAAGTGTTCAGGGATTCCCCTTCTTTTCAGAGTTAACTACAGTCAGTATAAATAGTTGCAAAAAACTAATTTAAAAAATTTAATACCTTTTCCTGATAAAAACACTAAAATATAGGAATAGAGGGAAAAATATTCAGTATATTTAAAAGCATATATATATATAAATGAGAGTGGAGGTTGCGCCTCTGCAACCGAGTTTGCGGCTTGGAGACCCGTTTTTGCTGCCGCCTTTTTGCCACCTACTTTTCTGCCACCGCCTCCCTTGCCCCCACCACCTCCACCCTCCTCGACGTTCCTGCCGCCCCCACCACCATTGCTTCTGCCACCGCAGCCCCCATTGCAACGGCCGCCACGTCCACTGCCCCCTTCGCAGTTTGCTCCTTTCTCTTTACTTCTTTCGGACTCATCCGTTACAGGCTGCGCCGGACCCAGGGCTTCTACTCTGGAAAAGAAATCTTACTCGATCTCTCTCTCGCAGAACCAGGGCCCAGCCATGGCTGATGGTGGCAGGGGGATGGGCGTGGTGGGTGGAGGCACAGGCCAGGCCTCCCTTGGGGCAGTGTCTGGAGTGGGGGTGGGAGTGAGCATAGGCCCCATCAACCCCGCCTCATTGTCCCCAGGCGATCCGTAGTTCATAGCCCTCATTATGGAGCAGTTCAAGAGCCACTGCCTATTTGATAGCTTCTGCAGGGACTGCCTGGCTGATGTGGACACCAAGCCAGCTTACCAAAACCTGAGACAAAAAGTGGATAATATTGTGTCAACACACCTGGACAAGCAGGAATGGAATCCTACAATGAACAAAAAACAGTTGCAAAATGGTCTGAGATAGAATGTGGTTCAATCAGGGATGCTGGTGAGGGGACAGCACGGATCCCCATTTCTGGTGTCCGGCACCCCCCAGCCTGACTGAAGGGACAGTATGGACCCCCCAATTTGGGTGTTCGGTGTCCCCCCCCCCCCCCCCCCCGGGAGTCTAACACAAATTCAACCTTGAATAAAACTCATTAACTCCAGAGGCAGGCATGAGCCATAAAAATTCTTAGTTTTAGAAGCGGGCAATAAGGGTAAACACAAGGGCACTGGAAAGTCTCATGCGGCAGAGTCTTATCAGATTAAAAGTAATCGATTAACCGAGGCTACGTGGGCACCACTTTTGGTGCATTGGTCAGGAAAGCCCCTAAAGGACCTTGTCACACTGAGTGCCTAGATCTCAGGCTGGCCGGTAAGTTAAGTGAGAGTTCTCTATGTCTGATGTTTCTGTTGCTGTACTTGGTGGTTCGAACTGTGTTGAGCCAGAGACTCCTAGGCAGATGTGCCAAACGGGCTTCGCACTAGGGCAGTAGAGAGATGACTCGCGTCTGGCCCTCTCTCTGTTATAGGGGATTCTGTGGCCCTGGTTGAGTTAGAGGAACAAATCAGAGGGTCGCTACCGCCTCCCAGAGCCTGTACTCAGGAAAGTCTGGGCTGTGGTTTTGGTTCTGTTCCATGCACCTTATTGGTACTTCTCTGTGTCGTTTGTTCTTCTGTGTGTGAGTCTGATTGTCTATGTTCTTGTGGTAGAAGAAATGGGGCAGACCAAGTCAACACCTTTAGGTCTCGTTTTAGACCGTTTCAAAGAGGATATAGGTGTGGCAGCCGGACTAGGGGTCCACGTGGTGAAAAAGAAAATGCTTGTTCTTTGCAGGAATAAGTGGCCCGCCTATGGCGTCGGGTCGCCAGAAGAGGGCACTCTCCACCTGCCCACTATCCACCGAGTCAAGGACATTATATTAAAAAAACCTGGTCACCCAGATCAGGTGGCCTACATCCTCACATGGCAAACCTTAGTGGAAGAGCCACCTTCATGGTTAAAGTCTTTTCTTCACCTTACAGGAGCGGTTTTGGCTGAAGCGACTGCTAAAGGGGAACCTAAAAAGGAGAAGGAGCCCAGATCTGTCCTGCTTCCCTCTGCACCAGCGGAGGAAGAGATTCTCCTTCCCCCACCCTATCTACCCCAAGTTACTAAGAGAGAGTGAGGAGTGGAAGGGGGGGGGGTTCTGGGGAGCCCACCCCACACCTGGGCTCAAACGCAACGTGAGGGACTACCCCACCGTTCTGCCCTTATGTACCATGGGTCCTCCAAACTCCCAGGGCGAACAACAGTTGGTCCAGTGGCCGTTCTCCACTAGTGATCTGTGCAACTTGGAAATGCAGGACCCTAAGTTCTCTGAGAAACCCGCAGCCCTTGTTGATTTGTTAGATTCTGTCCTCTTACTCACCAGCCCACCTGGGAGGACTGCCACCAATTATTACAGGTCCTGTTCACCAAGGAAGAGAGGGAGAGGATTTGCACTGAGGTGCGAAAAATGTTTCCGGGCCCACCACGAATTTGGACCTTATCAACAAAGGGTTTCCCCTAACTCAGACGGACTGGGATCTCAACACGGAGGAAGGTAAGGAGAGGTTAAAGGTCTACCGCCAGGCTCTTATGAAGGGCCTCCAGGCAGCAGCCAGGCAGCCCACTAACTTATCTAAAGCAAGCCAGGTTGTTCAGGGAAGGGACGAGTCACCAGGGGCTTTCTTGGAAAGACTCTTAGAAGCCTACCGAACCTACACCCCATTGGACCCAGAAGTGTCTGTGAACCGCTCTGTCACTCTGGCCTTTGTGAATCAGTCAGCACCAGATATTCGAATCAAGTTACAGAGACTGGAAGGATTTAAAGGTAAGAGGCTAGCCAAATTAATGGCAGTAGCAGAAAAGGTTTTCAATAACAGAGAAACTCCAGAAGAAAGGTAGGTGTGAGGCTTAGCAAAAGTCCTGCTCACTGCCTCGACCAGAGAGGGGGAACAGAGAAAAGACTTAAAAAAAAACTAGCTTATAGAAAGAACCAACGGAGGGAAGTAAACAGACCCTGCTTGCAGAAGGATCAGTGTGCCTACTGCAAGAAAATAGGGCACTGGAAAAATGAATGCCCAGAACACGGGTCCGCACCACAGGCTAAAGTGTTGGAATTGGAGGAAATAGATGCATAGGGGCAACAGGCCTCGGAACTCCTCTGTGAGCCCTGGGTAACGTTAAAAGTGGAAGGGAAGTCTGTTAAATCACTGGTGGACATGGGACCCAACATTCTATCCTAAAACAGTCCATGGGGCCAATGTTGGGGAAGCGAACTTGGGTACGGGGGCTACAGGAATGGACTTATGTTCATGGACTACCCGACGAACAGTAGATCTAAACAAGGGTTGGGTATCCCACTCCTTCATGGTCATTCCTAATTGCCCGTACTCTCTACTGCGTCAAGATCTGTTGACTAAAGTGGGAGCTCATATCCACTTCAAGCCAGAAGGAGTCTCAGTAACAGACCATACAGGGGAACCGATTCATGTCTTAACCATGGCTATTGTAGATGAATATAAACTGTTAACTGTCTGCACGAGACAAAAGGATCTGGAGGACCAAGCAGTG